GACCTGCTTCACAGTCACATTTGATCGCACATAGACATCATCCCAGCTGGGCACCAGTCTCATTACTGTGGCCAGCTGCTGGGGAGGCTGAGGGAGGAGGATCACTGGAGCCCAGGAGTTCAGGGCCAGCCAAAGTCATCCTCTTGATGCCTCCTTTTACTGCTTGCCTCTAGCTTGCCAAGAGGAAGTGCCACCAGGCTGGGTCTGAGAAGTACCTGGAAAGAGGCAGAAGCCGGGAAGCTCCAGGGGTGATGGAGATCTACGTCCTTCACAAGACCTCAGACTGAGGGGAGAATCAGGAACCTCCCTGAGGAGAGGTTGGGGACTCCTGAGAGGAGAGGCCAGGACCAACCCTCCAGGGAGGCCATGCCCCTAGGCAGGGGAGACCTGGGGACCCTGACAAGGGCAGGCTGGATGCCCCATGTGAGCAGAGGCTGGGACCTCGTTGAGGGGAAACCTGGCCAACCTTGAGGGGAGCAGCAGCCTTGAGGCCAAGCAACCTGGGCTCCCCTCACTTCAAATTTTCTGACTCGTAGATTGCAATGCATTTACTTTAGCTACCTGGAGGCAATGAAAGTTAATTACTCAGGTTTCACTATGGTTCAATGAAGGGAAATGCAAGTAGAAAATTTAAGATAACCATGTAGAGAAACCTGGGCTTTTTTTTTTTTTAAATCTGAAAATGGAGATTGTAAATACCTAGTCATAGGACTTTTGCAAAAAATCTCTTCAATGTTGCATACATAGAAAACGTTGATCTCATTTATCAATATATATAATTGGGATCATTTTTAATACCCACTTACCATACCCTCAATTTGAAATCTATGTATACAGAATATCTTCATTTGAAGTTCTTAAGTGATCTTTCTTTAAACCAAGGTTGAAGACCATTGCCTTAGATTATTTTTCTGCATTTAGAAAATAATTCCTTAGGATTAGCTTACAGTAAAAAATATCCACTACCTATATTAAAACATCAACATTTATTAATGCTTGCCTCAGAATTGATGTTTTATACAGATTTGAATTTGGTACAAATTTCATAAATTATACAGATTTGACACTTCATGCAGATTTAAATCATTATCTTCTAAACTAATTTTTTCACAGCTCTACGTGATTCCATTTTCTTTCACACATATCCCTAAAAGCAACTCATGTCAAGAACTAGGTGAGTAGGTCTGACTATTGATGCCCTCCTATCAGTATAGACTTATTGATCCCTAAACAGATTCTCAAAATCTGTTTAGATCCTGAAACAGATTTTTACCCCAAATATATTTAATATTTCTTTAGTTACCCTAAACTGTTTTCTTAAAAACATACACTGAAATTAACTAATGCTCTTCTAAGCTGTCTACAAAATAAGTATTGGCCTGAAATGTACTAGTTTATATGCATGTGTGTGAGACCTGAGTGACTCCATTTTAAAATTTTGGCCCTATTTTAGAGTAAAGGTGGCCTGGACATAAATTCTAGTTCCAAGAAAAACCACAAGATGCACTTTGGCCACCTGCCTGTGATAATGTCCCAGATGCTCTTCTCGATGGCCTGCAACAGCTAATCAGTAGTTACCCCAATACCCCAGAATCCCAGATGTTCTTTTCAATGACTTGAGCAGACGTTTGCAGTTCAGCACTCAAGACCCAGACAATTAGGTTTAAACTTTCAAAACTTGCTAAATGCTAGCCAATTGTGTGATTTGCAACCCCGCACCTTTTCAAAACCCCGCGCCTTGCTGTAACCTCTATAAAAACCCCTGATGTTTTAGAGTCAGGGCTCTCCATCTTGACCCGGTGCTTCAGTGACAGTTGAGAGTCCCTGTTCGAGCTTGAATAAACGACCCTCGTGTGTTTGCATAGGAATTGGTTCCTTGGTGGTCTTTGGGGACCTCGCGATCTGGGCACAACATGTGTACATTCAAGGCTTTCTGGGAAGTAATTTTTTTGTGGCTATTTCAAATGCTTTCACTTTTGCTCAGCTTTATCAGATAAAAGGTCATGATGTGGCCTGGGATTTAGCTCAGTGGTTTTGCCGCCTGCTGCGCAAGAGCAAGGACCCGAGTTCGATCTCCAGCACCAAAAAAAAGAAAGTCATGATATAATTTGTTTAATTTGTTACTTTACTATTATGATGGTATCCTTTCAACATTTCTTCCACCTCTCTTCATTTTGTACAAGTGAAAATTATCAGACACTATGTGAGTGGAGGGTGTTTGTTCTAATTTCAACATGTGATATATACTCAATATTACTATCACTTATGTTTTTCCCAATAAAAAAAGCAGTCCTATCATATACATCAGATTATTCTAAAGGTACAGTTTCAAAAATTCCCTGAGGTATGCCTAGTACTAATCCTTGCATCACTACTGATCAAGAGATTTCAGCTTGGATTAGAGGAGACAGTAAAGTGGGATGAGAGTTGGGAAATGAATCTGTAAGGTATGTGGTATTTACCTGCGAATAAATGTACAATCTGTGTAAATTTATGCAGTTCTATCAGCTCTTATTCCTCAGTGGAAATGTGGAAACTATCACTCATTTCCACAACATATATGTATATTATGGAATTTTGAAACTCAAATATTTAGTTACTGTGGGTTTTCTTTTCAAATAAAGCACTCTACACAATTAAAAATTTTATTGTCAAGGGGCACTGGACCCTGTGATGATGTTAATGCCAATGTATATCTCAGCACCAATGAGGATATTAGATCGTTTTCTTCACTTATGTAGTTTTTATATCCATGAAAATCTTTGCTCTGATCTCTGAGTAACTGTCACTTATTGTGAGCCAAAACAGTCTACTTATTGTTTAGCAAAGATTTTTGTTTTTAATTTCTCTCGTGTGCCAGGATAGAGATATAAACTAGGGAGTCAGCAATGAATTTTCTCTAAATACAAACATATATTTGCAGAAATAAAATACAAATTTTCCCATTATGTAAAAAGGAAAATGACAACTTGAGATACCAGAATATTTTATTTGAATGTCATAAAATTAAACCTTTTATCATTTGTTCTACTGATGATCTCTACTTTGAATTTTAGCCTTATATATTAATTACATAGTAATAATTAAAGTAGGATCCATTACATGTTTGACAGATGCTTAATATAGTAGTATTAACTAGAAATCAACTCAGAAATCAAAGATAAAAACAACTTGACACACTTTACACACTAGTAAGATGTGGGGACACAATTCCAAATTTAATTGTCAGGTTCTTTGTGGGAACCACAAATCATTTTCTTTCTTAACCATCATAAAGTTTACATCAAAAGGTGTTATGTGTACACTGTAGTCATATATGGGAAAATTAAACTCTCTGCAGTTTTCAGAGTTGGAGAGAAATCTAACTGGAGTTGATTTCCCTTGTAGACATCGACAAGGAGGATTTATAAGAAGCAGGATGTGGACAGCTTCAAGGAAAGTATGGAGTGGGGGTCAGGCATGAGAGAAAAACTAATCATTGTAGACCTCCTCAACCTTTGATCTTTTCTTCCTAAGTTAGAGATCCTTCCTAAGGTGGATACAGCAGTTTTCACCCCTCTCTCCACAGTGATCTACTTGGGACTCCTAGGGGTAGAGTAGAGTAAGAAATGGGTCCTTCCTGGAGTGACAGGAAAGAGAAATGCTTGGACTGTCAAGGGAACTATGTACCGGGATTTGCCTGGTAAAATGTGTCATGTGTGTTTTCTGACAACCTTGTGTAAATATTTCTTCACTATTTTCTATCCAACAACTTGTAATTAAATACCCAAAACTACAGAGCCTGTATTTTCTTTTAGAATAATGATACAGAAGCTTTTATTCAGAAATATTGTGCATAAAAATAAAATTAATTACATAGAATACATAACTTAGATGCTGCCGTGGAGGAAATCTTCAGTTATTGGTTCATGACATTATGGTTAATTTCATCCTCACCGTTGTCCTCCTTGCCTCCACCATAATTTTTTTCAGATGTTCAGGCAATAGTTTACTGGCACCCATAGTATGCTACCATGGGTTAGATCCCTCTGAGAATCAGAATCAGTGTGGGAGGAAAGGAAAACTTTGACTGAGATTTTTGGTCCCCCATAGTAAACAAGTTCATACATTTCACAGCTCTCTGAGCTGAAACTGTGCACAATCATCATCTCCTCTCACTGTCCAAACATCCATGTATGTCTTCATGCAATCAGTCATGATGAGAAGTAATTTCTCCAATAGTCCTTCCTCTATCCAATACTTTCAGAGTTAAGCTGTGTGTCTTCTCTGGAATTCCCAAATATATCACACACTCCTCATTTCCCTAAGGACCAGAAAAAGCTCAGGAACAGCCCAGGGAATTGATATGGACAATGTCAAATATGGGCTTTCTGTTTCAGTTGTACAGGAAAGAGGAGATACAGACATCTCACAGTGTCAAACACTAGAATTGACTCGTTATGTCATATAATATTACCTTGAAATCTTAATGGACACAGCTTATAATTATACATATTGGTCCATATTATTCTAATCTTTGCAGTATCTGAAATTTATTGAAAGTTTAAAGAATGAATATCACCAAAAATTTTGGGCCCTTCCCTTACGAGAAGTCTTAAGAATATTATTATCTTTGTTAATTTTTTCCTTTTGAAATAAGACCTCAGCTTTTCATTTCCACTGTTCATTTTGGAAAGATATGCATATCTAAAGGTACCATTTTAAGCAATTTTAGGTGCAAAGTTTGGTTACATATATTATAATATTTTTGTGCAACCATCACTCTTAGCCATTTGCCAAAATTTTTCACTTTCCCAACTGAAATTTGCACCTGTACGAAGAACACTAAATACTACTCCTTCAACACCCATGACTCTGTAATGAATTATCATATAAATTAAAAGACATCAAACTTCAAAAACAATAAAGTCAAGGAGGAAGTATTTACAGATAAGTTTTGGATTTTCTTTTTTATCACATTTTATAAACTATATTTGAAATTAACGGCAAAGGTCCTGCGATTAGATTTTCCAAAAAGGGAGCCTCTTCAGGCTGCTAAGAATGTCCTTGTTCCTCAGGCTGTAGATGAAGGGGTTCAGCAAAGGGGTGACCACAGTGTACATCAGTGAGGCCACCATGCCCTTGCTGGGAGTATATGATGCAATTGAACCTAAATACGTTCCAATGCTTGTTCCATAAAATAAACAAACACTTGACAGGTGAGAACCACAAGTAGAAAAGGCTTTGTACCTGCCGCCAGAGGATGGGATTTTCAGAAGGACAGAAACAATTTTATAGTAGGAGAAAATGATCCCCGACATGGGAAAGAAACCAAATAGGATAACAAGCATATATGTGACTATGCTTTTGACTAAGGCATCAGAACATGAAAGGTCCAGGAGTTGAGAAGGGTCACAAAAGAAACTAGCAATTTCCACATCTTTGAAACAGGTAATTTGTAAGGCAATTAAATTGTGAGCCTGGGAATCCAAAAAGCTGAAAAAGACTGACAACAAAAGTAATAAAACACAACGGTGAGGGTTCATAATGACTGCATAATGCAGGGGGTGGCAGATGGCCACAAAACGGTCATAGGCCATCACAGTCAGAAGCATGTCATCCATACATCCAAAAAGAAAAAAAAGAGACATCTGTGTCAGGCAGCCCATGTAGGAGATGTCTCTCCTGTGAGTTAGGATGTCCACAATTAACTTTGGGACTGTAGAGGAAATGAAACAAATGTCAGCCAAGGACAGGTTGGAGAGGAAGAAGTACATGGGGTTATGCAGGTGGGAGTCAGAGGTGACAGCCAGGATGATGAGGAAGTTCCCGAGCACTGTGACCAAGTACATGGACAGGATCAGTCCAAAGAGGATGGGCTGCAGGTCTGGATCCTCTGAGAAGTGCATGAGGTAGAACACTGAGACATGTGTGAGATTATGTCTTTCCATGTTGCTTGAGCACCTTTAAATAAATTTCCTTGAAAAGAATGAAACGAAAGACATCACACAAATATATTCTGAGTTCAAGTATTTGTGAGCAAATAATTCCCACCAGGGATCCTCAACCTTCAACAGCATTGCTCTATTTTGTGAAACCCCACCATCAAGGACTCTGTGTTGGGTGTTTTGTTTTCCACCTACTCAGTACTTTACTTTACTTATACTCTTACTTTACTTATACTCTCCTGCACAGTGTAAGAAGAAAAAGGAGGTAGATTTCTGAAGTCCTTCATCATCATAAAATTCGTGAAACTTAGTTCCAAAAAGTATAGGGATGGGGATTTAGCTCAGTGGTTCTGCCTCCTGCTTCACAAACACAAGGACCTGAGTTTGATCCTCAGTACCTCTCCCCCCCAAAAAATCCCTCAAAAAGTATAGAGGTAGTTAACCCTTCCCTCTTTAAGAAAATGTCATTGTATTGGAAGGAAATTGAAAAGCATTGAAATATTCCATATTTCATACTCATAAAAGGCTACAAATTTCCTTGATTAGGATGTTTACAAATAGTGTAAAATCTAGGACTGAAAATTAAAGTTAATTCTCTTCAATCTGAACACTTTGTTTTGAGCTGTTTTTCTAAAAATAATGAATTTTTCATTTTTCTTGTCTCTTTCTGATTTCATCTTATAAGGATGTAAGCACTCACCTAGCCTTTGTATATTAATTGTGTACAAATATTTTTTGTGCATAAATTATTAAATATTAAAGTTTTATCCTTCTCTTCATTTCATTCAATTCATATATCACAGATTCAGATACATGCACATAATCTTTGGACATGATTACCACAAATGTATATCAGTGTACACTGGATTTGTTACTAAAAATATAAATGATAAGAAACACCTTTGCCTTTAAAATCTATACAGGTGTATTTAATCATACAACATTAGTAAACTATCTGCTATATGAGATATCTCTTTCTTGATTCTGTATTCCACCATAGCTTGATAATGTGCATGACTGCTATTCTGATCATAAACCCTCTTGTATCCAGTTGATGATGCTGGAAACTAAGAAATTCCCAAGGCCCTGGCTGAGTCCCAGCCTTCCTAATTCTAAGGAACAGATTTTCACATCAATCTTTCCTAATGTACAAGTTGCACTTTTCTTATTTCAGCTATGTGATGGAAACTGGGATCTGTATTTTCATCAGTCCATTCTGTGATTTAATTGTAAAAAAGCCCAAAATAGTACACAAAATTATGTAAGCACAACTTAAAATTCAGGTGCACTAGAAAGAGGCACGTGAAATCAATCTTGTAAACACGCATGCAAATAATGTATTCCCCCACATCTGTAAAATGTGGAAAAGGATCACCTAACATATTGTTGCTGTAACAAAACATTTTGAAAATAATTTAATTTGCATCACTTTTGGTTCTAACTTAAGAATATATATATCTGGGGATTTGGTCATATGTTCAGAGAGCCTAGGTTTAGCCTATATAATCATGATATGAACATTTCAAGGTTTTCAGTCCTTTCATAAACAAGAGTTGAGAACCACTGTCTGAGAAGATTTGCTGGGATTTAGAAAATTTCCTATTCATACCATCTCTATAGATATTGACATAAATGTATAATTATATTTATATTACCATAAACATTCTTTAGGTATCTGTACAAATACCTAAAATTGTGAGTATTTGGCACCATTTCTCTTGCTCTCTTGTCCCCAAAGGAATCTATTGTGATTAATGTTAAGGGTAGGTTTTCCCGTCAATATTTTCAGGTCAACACTGATTTAAGAATCCACAAGAAAGGGGCCTGGGATTTAGCTAAGTGGTTTCGCCGCCTGCTGCACAAGCGCAAGGATCCAAGTTTGATCCCAGCTACCAAAACAGAAAAAAGAATCCACAATCAATTGTCTTAAAAATTACCTAAAAAGGACCAAAAACTCATCTAAGTAGTGTGTAACAAAACACCTTTTGCACACCACATAGACTAGGTTACATCCACATGTAGTGGTTTTGGGTCTTTCTTTTCTTTACTAACACAAAGTTTTATCAACGAGATAGAGAGAGGCCTCATTTACTTCGTAAGTTAATTATTATGAGAATATTTTCAAAATTCTTGTACCTTTTCCCCTGTCGCTCATGTTAAAATTGGCATATAATATATTACAGGGAAAATGTTCTGATTTCCAACAAATAATGCATATGTAAAATTTCAGTTTTTTCCAAAACAGGTCACTCATTTTCACCTAAATCCCCTTATTTTTCAAGAAAACCTTCAAAATATGCCTGTAGTCTTTCTAGTAATGATCTCTTTATGATAACACACAAGAAAATTTTATCATCACATGGAGAATAATATTTTCATTTTGCTTCAGTTTTGGAGCCTGTGCCAATGGATGGCACTGAAGAAATGGGCATTTTACTCCATTGTCACTGACCTGTTACTGTAGCAGAATGTGTATGAATCTCTCCTCTTCTCTGTGCTCATAATGGTTGAGGAAAATAAGGACAATAGCATTTATCCACATGTGTAACAGTTAAAGCAACTTAGAATTTAAGCATTTAACAATTGTGAGATTGCATTTTAAAAATAAAGACATATACCATTAACTAAGAAGAAAGTTTAAACATATAGTAAACTATGTTCAAATGGCATTGGAGTCTGGAATGATATGTTCTTTAATTTACCTAAGCTTCAGACATGTAATCACCTGCTACTTTCTCTTTGTGCCTTTTTAAAATCACTTGAATATCTTTTTTGTATTTTGTTTTAAAATAACTTATAGAGCTGTAGTTAAGTGAATTATAGGATCTCTGTGTCCATGACATAGAGAAAAAAATGAAAGGTATTTTCTTTTGCTTTTACATCTATGGGGCATTTGTGAAAGGGATGAAGTTGCAGACAGTAATGTACCAGGCATCTTCATGTCTTTCTCATTAAGGACAAGTATCATGACTCATGGAAGGGTCTATTCAATGTTGAACAAGAGTTTTTATTTTTGATGTCTCTCTTGTGTCAAACAAAGTATGATTCTGGGGAACCAGATACAAAGCAAAGTCCATCATTCCTCTCCAAACATATGGATATAATTACACAAAAACAAACAAAATGTCCCGCAAAAGAAATAGGAAAAGGGTAACTATAGGACACAGTAGATAATTGGTATGAATATTCTTATGACTGATAGTAATGATAGCTAAATTTTATTTTACTCTAATTTTATACACATTAACCCTAAATAGAGCACTCTTTATCCGCATGATCCTGAGTGTAATTGCTTCAAGTAAAATTGAATTGTAATGACCATGTTCTCTCAGAGACATTAAAAGTCCTCCCTGCATCACAGAAACAATAAGTGGAGCTGCAGGATTAAAAAATAAATTGACAGGTTCTGCCCAATGCACTGAAATTTTTCATCATTTCTAATCCACAGGAAGATTTAAGCAGAGATTTTGAATTGATTAGGTACATTTTCAAATCTCTCATTTCCTAAAAAAGAATGTAATCAAGACCTGATTTTTCCACATTTGAGTTGGCTGGAAATAAGTGTAAGCATTGAGATGGATGTGGAAAACCCAAAAATAACCTACACTGGAGGCAAGAGAGAAATCCGTGCTGAATGCTCAAGGGGGCATGCTCTCAGATCTTTGCCTGTCATCTACATTTCCCTGTGATGGACACAGGTGGGGCCATTCACTGTTCTGCTCCATGAGCTTTCAGAAAAGTCCAACAGTAAGAGAACAATGAGCAAGGGCCCTTTTCTGAAGTGACCAAGAATTAATTTTCTGCTTGTTCTGAGGCAACCTAACAGAATTAACCTGTGTCTGTAATCAGACAACCTAATTCCACCAAGTCATTTTTCTACATAACAACGTGTTGTAGGTTACATTAAAATGACAGACTTTTTTTTTTTTCAAGCAATGGCAGTGTGAGCAAATAAAAATCCAGGAAGACAGAGAACATGAAATAAAACAAGATACATAGGAGGGCCGGGAATTTAGCTCAGTAGTTTCACCACCTGCTGTAAAAGCACAAGGACCCAAGTTCGGTCCCTGGTACCAAAAAAAAAAGAGACACATAGAAGAAATTGCTCATGCTGGAAGATAGGAAGCCCTCAAATCCAGTGCATGATGTTTGGTTACTGTCTTCCTCTATGTCCGGATCATCACCTTTATAATCCTTTTAGAGCACTTAGGAGACACTGCAGAAAGGCATGTTTTCTGCTGTTATGGATGAGACATCAGTGAGATAGAAACATGGTGTATAGAAAGCAAATTTGAAATAATATTTTTTCTTCCCCCACTGCAACCAAGATCATAATATTTCTATTCTTTCTAAGTGATACTTTTAATATTTGTACCCTCACATCTGGCCATCAAAACTATTATGCTTTTCCTCAGATAAGTCAATAATAGTTTTGAGTATCTTTCTCAATAACAATGACATCCCTTTGCACTTACAGGGTAAAGCTGTTTCTCTGCTGTGCCACAGTCAAGGAGATCCAAAGAACCTCTTATGTCTGCTGCCCAGTGAAGGCTCAGTATCTCTCCTCAGGATTGAAATTAATACAAAAACACATAGGAGCTTCATAATACAGACAAGAATAGAGCCTGAGATGCAGGTATTGAGCTGGACATAGAACTGGAGTCACTAAAGGACTGGGGGCTGATTATTAACTACTCTGTGACCTTGGGGGCTCAGTCCACAGAGCTGGCTCATAATTAGCCAAGTTGGTCCATGCCATCCCAGTCTCTAAGGACTTCCAAACACTAATGGAAGACAAAGACAAAAGAAATATGTGTCCACAAGAGGTTTTGAGTTTTGCATCTACTCAGATAAAGCTGGTTTATCCTAATCACTTCTTTCATTTATATACAATTTTTAAATGGTGGCCTGACTTTATTTTATTTTTGAAGTAAAATACACATACCAAAGTTGGACTTTAAAAAATATGGTGGATTAATATAAAATTTAACAGCTTTAATATTATTGTGAGT